TTTTTATATAATAATTATATTATTAACATTAATATTTTATTTTTTATTAAAAAATTAATACTTTTTTTATGTTCGCAGACAAATTTGCTTGCGTTACAGATGAAGGGATAATATGTATATATAATCTAACTAATTTATTATAAATGTACTTTCTATATAAATGTACATTTTGTTTAGTTTCCATTTATAAAAAGTTGACTGTATAATTTTTTCACTTTATGTCTCTAATTAAACTATTAAATATACTTAAAGATTTTGAAAAATTATTTAGATATACATCTTTTATAGCTATTTTATAAAACATAAGTAAGAATTAACTGTTTAGATGATAGTTTTTAAAAAACTTCAAATTGTTGTTTTATATTAATAATAACTAAATAGTTTTTTTTATTTTATATAATTTGTGTCTCCCATTATCGAGCTACAATCCGGACTAATAAGTCGTTCCACCAGATATATTCCCGATTTGGTGTGACAGACTAAAAATTTTTTTTGTGGAATTATTTATTTTTGACCATGTATAGTTCATCCATCTATCTCGAAAAGCAGAAGCATGATTAGTGCATTCTTTATTTACAATCAGAAGGGAGAAGTACTAATCTCGCGTTTATATCGTCAAGATTTAAAGTAAGTTTGAAGGTTCCCCGTTTAATTTAGCATAATTGAAACTTCTAAAAGTTTTTTATTTCAGACGTTCTGTTGCAGACATCTTTCGAATTCAAGTAATTTCTAATACTGATGTTCGCTCACCTATTATTACACTTGGATCTACGTCGTTTTTTCATGTTCATCATGAAAACCTTTACATCGTGGCCGTTACAAAGTGTAATGCTAATGCAGCCTTAGTGTTTGAGTTTTGTTATCGGCTTGTTAACATTGGAAAAGCTTATTTTGGAAAACTTGACGAGGAAGCTGTTAAGAATAATTTTGTATTAATATACGAGTTATTAGACGGTAACATAATTGATTTATATTCAATATATTTTGTTATTGAAAATTTGCACTCACTTTTACTCTATTGATTAGAGATTCTCGATTTCGGATATCCTCAAAATAGTGAAACAGAAACGCTTAAAATGTATATAACTACGGAAGGTGTCAAATCACAACGCGCGGTGGTATGTGTGTTATTTTAATGTTTTAGCTGAATTTAGGATATTGAGAACTAATAAATATAATTAGAAGGAGGATTCTTCAAAGATCACTATCCAAGCAACTGGAGCTACTTCATGGCGTAGATCGGATATTAAATATAGAAAGAACGAAGCTTTTATAGATGTTATTGAATCAGTGAATTTATTAATGAGTACCAAAGGTTGATAAATACTGTATATATATATAATATTCTTATTTAACTTTTAATTTTAGGAGTTAATTAACTAATTAATTAATTAATTATATCTAGGCAACATATTAAGAGCAGACGTTTCTGGGCAAATTATGATGAGAGCATATCTTTCTGGTACCCCGGAATGTAAATTCGGACTTAACGATAAATTATTGTTGGAAAAAGATGCATCTCATAGAGGATCGTATGTGTGTTTCATATAAAATTTACGTATCCTAATAGATTTATAGGAATTTACAACATTAATTATTTGACAGATCTCAGAGAAGAACTAATGCTGTTGAGATTGATGATTGCCAATTTCATCAATGTGTCAAATTAGGAAAATTCGATTCTGATCGTACAATAAGTTTTGTTCCCCCAGATGGTGAATTTGAATTAATGAGGTTAGTTTATTCGAGTAACCTTTTTTTATGTTTTTAAAAAAAAGTAAAATAATAGGTTCTTAAATGTTTATGTCTTTTATAAAGATATCGTACTACGGAAAATGTCAACCTTCCATTTCGTGTTCACCCAGTAGTTAACGAAATTGGTAAATCTCGCGTTGAATATCGAATCACTGTGAAAGCGAATTTCTCGCCAAAATTATATGCTAATAATGTGGTGATAAGGATACCCACGCCACTTAATACTGCCAATATCAATACACGCGTTACAGCTGGTAAAGCGAAATATGTTCCTGCCGAAAATTCTATTGTTTGGAAGTAAAGTATAAAGAATTGTTTTTTTTTTTTTTAATACTTTATAGAAATGATTTACATTTACTTAACTATTTATAGGTTACCGCGATTTCAAGGACAATCCGAAGTAACATTATCCGGTGAAGCAGAACTTTCTTCAATGACTGTAAAGAAAGCATGGTCGCGACCTCCAATATCAATGGATTTTCAAGTTTTGATGTTCACTTCTTCTGGATTATTAGTCAGATTTTTGAAAGTCTTTGAAAAAAGTGAATATACAAGTGTAAAATGGGTAAGATATATGACTAAGGCCGGAAGTTATCAAATCAGGGTAAGAGATTTTATCTTTACTTGTACTTTCTTCAAATATATTAAATTAATCTTCTATATCTTATTTATTTATTTGATCAAAAGTTTTAGCTTTTGTAATTTAAGAACTTATTTTTATATAGTACCATCATTTATAGATTTTATAATTTTATAATATTAATAGTTAATGTATTACTAGGTTTAACAGTAATACTTTTTTTAATAAATTATTAAATTGGTTGATATTGGTTCTATTCGTTATCTAAATATCAAATAATTAAATAAATAATTCTAAACAACTTTTTAACTCGTGTGATTTTAATTTCTATCATAATTGAAACTTGCGATCAAACCATTTTTTAGTAATTTCAATGGCAACAAAAGATGAAGCATTAACAGGTCCAGCACGTAATATACATGCACCAAATCCTTTAAAGAAACCTTTAATTCCTTCTTTGGCGAAAGTTTGTTTTGCACAATCCAATGAGCTTGAATATTTTCTCTTGTCTTTTGAAAATTCATCTGTTTGTATTTTACTCTTTATAACATCTATTGGGTAGCATAAACCCCATAATCCGTATCCTTAGAAAAGTAATTATATTAAAAAATGTAGCGTTACCGCAAAGTTTTAACACATAACAAGACAAACCTGCAGCAGCCCCGTATAAACAATGTTTCCAACTAGGCAATTCATCCCTTTTTTTTTGTTCTTTAAACATGGCGCGATACATCAAGTACTCGTATATTAGAAAATAACAACCACATCCATGAAGTTCACGGGCCATTGTTATGAACTGTCCCTTATAAATTCCTTTAATGTGATATTTAGAGTAAATTTTTTTGATACAATCGATTGGTCCATTATAAAGTTCATTATTACGTTGCACTTGGAGTCCTAAACAAACGAACGATAATTAGATTTAATAAATTTTTAAGGTTTATAATTCACACTTAATATATAAAAAAAAAAAATTTATATATCGTCTCAAGACTTACGTGTACGAATATGTTCGACCGGACCTATAAAATATTTCAAAGGATCACGTAAAAAATCACAAATTCTGCTAACCAAATTATTGAAAACTTAATTCTTTCTTTTTAACTTACAAGAAACAAAAGAACTTATTATCCCAGATGCAGCCCCAGCTAGATATAATTGTGACATTGTCAACATCCTTGATTGTCCATTCCTTTCATTCCTTTCATTAAATAGTCTTTGCATAGATCCAAAAACGAAAAATTGAATGGAAACAAATGTACCATATCCAACTAGAGGGGTTGATGATCCCTATATATTCTATATCAATAATAGGATTTTAATATGCGAATATTAAAGAAACCAAGAAATTAAAACCTTATAAAATCCGCGTAATCCTTCTTTACTACTAGTTTGCCTGACACAATCTAATGTGCCATTATATGGTTGTGTTTGAAGTCTCTGTTTAAATATAATATATTATCTTGCATCCTTGAAAATACTGAACAATAATAATAGTTTATTCACACAAAAAGCTTACCACTTTGACTGTATCAAATGGCTAGAAAATAGAAAATAAATTAATGCTTATTAGTAAAATATGAAATAATAAAATATAAATTACCTGTCCAACAAACACTTGAACAATTCCACCAATGGTTCCGCTAAAAAAATCTTTAACACCTTTAATAAGCCCTCCTTGATTTGTTCCCGACATTTTTTAAGAACTAAGAGACGATTTGTTTGAATAAAATAAAAAAAAATTTTTTTTTTGATCAATCTTGATCTAAATAATTTTATTCAAAAATGTTGGTAACACACAACATATGTAATTAATAATACAAGTATATAAAAGTAATGCTATAATGATATTTACATGGTGAATCATCAAATAACTATGCTGATATATGATATGATTGATATAACAAACCTATTTAAAAGAAAGATTAATAATCTAATATTAAAAATTAAGATCATCAAACATGCAGAATCAGAAATAAGAAAGAAATAAATAGTTTTTGCACTGGGTCGCTTTTTTTTGAGGATCAGCACACTCATGTGACATTATTTTCGTCTTTTTCGTTTTAATTTTTATCTTTCAGTTTGTCAAGAACAGTTTATGGAAACATACACGTCTTGTCAAACTATCTTTCACAAACGAAAATCAAGGAAATTTCTCTACCTACTAATCTAACTTCTCTGAAAAGATCATTATTTGTATTTTACTGAAGCTAATTATTTATTGTTTTTTACTCTCGTTTTAACTCTCGGTGATATAGGGTCAAAATGCGTTTATTTTTTGTTGTTCTGGCTAAACCTCTTGGTCAATCGTCCGCAGTTCACATTACTGAAGAGAATAATACTATTGGTGGTAAAACATTCCATGAAAACGAACTCACCATTTTTGAACTCAAGAAATTGATATGGAAAGAGTTATACGGGGGTGAAGTAGGTTCTAACAGGGTTAATCAATGGACGCTATGGAAAGTCAAAGATCTTATCGAAGGAGACGAGAAGTGGAAGGCACTTGAAGATATTGAAGATATTGAAGATAGTAATACCGAAACTTTCATTAAAAATTAGCTCAAAGGTAATAAGTTGACTCCAGCTATGGGTCTTAAAGAAGTTTTTTCCGCTGACACTCCGAAAGGTGTGATCCACATCCTCGTGCAACCTCCACCTTCCGCCACCACTAGTAAGTGTCTTACATCTCGAACAAGAAATTTGGTGACATTGACTAACTAATTTCACTTCTTATTCACTTTCACTTTAACAGACGTGCCCAAAGTCAAGGGAATATCAAGACTAGGTATAAAAGCTATTGTCTTTAAATTCCATGTTAATGTACATGTTATTTTCTTATTTTGCATTGAATAGGAGGTCTTGGAGGAACAAATATGAAAAGAAAGGAAGATGGTTTATGCTACGAAGGTCTTGATCTTACTCACATTGAAAATGTATGTCAGAGAAAGCCGACAATTAAGAGATTACTTGATGATCTGTTTGAGAAACGTATTATTCTAATTCGATCGCCATCAATGGCCGGTAAAACGTCACTTTCACAACTACTGGAATATAATATTCTTCAATCAGATGAAGCGAAGAAAGGATCTAGATGTGTATTTCGCATTTCATTATTGTGGATGGTTAAATACGTAGACGAATGGACATTTGCAGAAGGATTCAAAATACTCATGAATATGAAATGGGATGAATTTATACAATTATGTAAATATAGTAATATTTGAAGTAATTTTAATTGTTGAAGTATTTTTTGGAATACATTTAAAGAAGTAAATCAGTACTTGTCGAATTTTTATATTGTAGCATTTGCTTCTTGCGGACACTACGGCGCTTACATTATTCATGGAGATCATTCAGTTATGGATATTTCGCCACCATCTATTCTTCATAAGAACAACACATGGGGATTTGCAGATGTTCGTTTTACTAAAGAGGAGTTTGATGATTACTTTAATCAATTATGTGAAATGCGTCTTCGAATGTTAAAAAAAGATGACATTCCATTTCTTCGGAATTATGTACGTGAGATAACAGCTTATCATCCTGGATTTGGTTGCTTTCACCATGGATGAAATTAATAAAAGATTTTCCAAACGGTCTTCTGAGCTGGAATTTGGTGATGTTTTTGCCTATCTCAAATCTTATGATTTTTATTCTCATCTAAAGGTAAAGGTAAGGATGGCCGGCTTTTTGAACGTGTATGGCAAATGGAATTCTACCGTGCATCATTACAAGTTCTTCCTGAAGACATATATCCTTCCGTTGATGTTGGAAAAGCATTTGGATCAAAGGGATATGTGGATTTTTATGTAAATGATAAGTGTAATTGGGCTATTGAACTATTGAGAGATGGAGTAAAGTTAAATGAGCATCAACAGAGATTTCACATATATGTTCCTATTCTTAGACACACAAAACAGTGGGCGATTATTGATATTCGGGATGGTAATATGAAAGCTTCAGAGTCAGAGAAACGTGAAAGAAATGATATTTATGTTATTTGTGCCGAAAATTTTGAAACTGTTCAGTTGGTGTATCCTAATGGAGATGAAGAGGATATTTGGTTACTAGGCAAAGAAAATTTGCTTGGATATGATTTATCAGAATTTTTAGACGATCAAGATTATCAAATGGAAATAATGGAAATTGATTACTAATAAATACTATTTGATCATTCGGTTATAATCAAACCTTTAATTATAGAATCTTCTGATCTTTGCATTTTATCCAAAAATGTTTAATAAAATAAAAAAAATCAAATTTATATGAGCTAGAATTATTACATTGCAATTTTTTTGTTTAGCGTACACAAAATTAATGCTGAAAAATTGGTATTTGTTTTATTGAAGTGGAAGTATTTATTTATTATTTGTAATAACAGGAATCATCTTGGAGAAATATGACCGCGTCACAAAAATCTGATAATTTACAATAGAAAAATTTGACTAGTGCTTCGAGTCAGATAAAAACTGATGAATTTCTTCCTATTCAGTCCGCGAACGGGTACGAAGAATCAGGGAGTAGGAGTTTACGGATCGAAGCACTAAATTTGACGTTATCTTATATATAAAGATTAACAAGGGTTTTTTATGCACGTAAACTGCAGGAAAGTTCGAGAATAAGTTACATTCAATTATCTTGTTCCTGTGTGATCAAAATTGACAAAAAAATTTTTTAATACATGCGAAAAATAAATACAAAGACCTGTGATACATACGAAAAATAAATTACAAAGACTGGTCATCAAATACATGATGTCTATACTAAATAAAATTACCTATGCTCCTAATTCAACTGGATACTAGAGGTATCCTTTCCCGCAAGGTTGCCTGTTGATCTTTTTTATTTTTTTCTCTTTGTCTACGTTAAGAGTTGAATCCAGCTTCTGCGCCTCCTCAAATAGGGCTGAGAACTTTCCTAATCAAATTTCTATATATATATAAAATAACCACTTGTTCTGATAATTTGAAGCTCAGCCTATCTTGTTCATCTATCAAACATATAGAATTTTTCAGCATCAGTAATTATTTCAAAAACTTTTCTGAACATATGATCCTTTTCTATTTATTTGCATTATGCTTATGATTCAATAAAGATGACTCAATATTGAGCAACGCTTTTCACAAAATCATCTTTTTTTATGTTTAATTATTCTTTTATATATATTATTATACAGATAATTTTTATATAGAATAGTAAATCTGTAAACTTCAACTTTAATACTTATTTTATAAATAAAATCTTTTATAAGTTATTTTGATCAATGTTGAAACCGGCAAGAAACTGACAGACTAGACAAACTGACAGATTAGACAAATCTAACAAATCTAACAAAACCGACAAAACTAACAAAACTGTTGATTATAATATAGCTAATATTATAATATTTATATTATTATTATTATTATTATTATTATTATTTCTAATATTATTATTATTATATTACAGTAGCAGTCATAAGTATCCAACCGCCCGAGATCGTCCAAAATTATTATATAACTATCCCTTAAATTTTCCAGAAATATAATATAACACAATACATGA